AGTCGGTTAACTGTTGGTACCAAGGGACACTACCAAGACACACGCGCGTACGTGTGAACCAGCCGTAAGGCGTTCAACCGAAATTGGTCTGCGGCTGAACACAATCCTCCGCATCGTCAGGCGGCCTCACGAATGGGACCTGTAGACGCGTTTAGCCCAACTTTAGTTAGGCTGGAGTGAGACAGAGAACGGAAACACGAGAGAGAAATTCGACTCTGGAGAGAATCGTGTCCAGAATCGTGACAATACATCGGAAATATCTCGACACTTGCAAAAACTCCAGAGTCAGGCTAATATTCCACTTTTTTGTTGTAAATCTTAAACACTGTTTACCATAGATCGGTACATACAAGTAGAAATAATTTAGAAAGCCTTGAACTACTTTCGCGAGTAATAAATGTAAGATATTTGAGAAAATTCGTGTGCGAGACAGTAGTTTTTAAATAACGGCAGTATTAATGAACAACATTTTTACGCGCTTATCCCTCTGGATGGAAATATCGGAGCGAAGAACGTTTTTCACATCTCTCGGCCGGATTATCCCGCGATTATTTAATGAAAAACAAAGACGCGAGGCGATCGTGCTTTTTTACGCAAAGAAAGAATATTGTTGTCGGTAGTGGAGGGAAATACGAATGGAAAAAGAAAAAGAATTGATTCTCCCATCGCTTGAGCTCGTAACGATAAAAATCGTCACAACCTCTCCTGAAACGAAACGGAACGAAAAACCATTCCAATTTGCATCGTCAAATAGAATATCGCATTTCCACACAGACGGAATTAAAAAAAAAAAAAAAAAAAAAAAAAAAAAGAAAAAAATAGAAAAAACGAGAATTTAGTCGTTTGAAAAATTTTAATTTAAAAAGTTTACCAGAATTCGTTTGCTAATTTTAATGTAGGCAACGTTCCTCGTTAGAGGACACCTGTCGCCGCGTGCCAGAAAAAAATTAAAAGATATTCCCAGTACGAAGCACAGAATCCGTACCGGCTGGATAATAAAATTGATTTTGAATTAACTGCTTTCCATCTTGGGAATAGCAGGGACGTAGGAAGGCTCAGTTGAATCCTGGACGACCGGCCTCCTGCGTTTAATATCAACTTAGAATCACGGGAGCAGAACAAGAAGGGCTACTCTCGTTTAGAGGAGTTCGTAAATTTAAGTGGATTTTGATTAATCTCGAACTTGACTGCCAACCGTAGTTTCTGGACAATGCATCTGAATCCCAGATTCATTGCCGGCGCAACGATAATTCACGATCTCTGCAAACACGGCCGCCCGCCTCCGAGATAATCGCGTTTTAACCGTGAAAAACCGTGCCGAGTCTCGTCACGAGGTACCGATCGTAAATTGAAACGATAGTCCCTAGACTAAATTACGAGCACTGTAAAAATAACAAGATGAAATAAGCGATACGGTCCTGCCGGAATTAAATTGGAAACGTGGGATTCAATTTTATGAGGACAACGAAAGATATTTATTCAGACTGGAATAAAATATAAACGCACGAACGTTGAGAAGATCTCGAAAAATATTGCTCGACCTAGAATTATAAGAATTATATATATATATATATATATATATA